CATGTCTGCTGTTAACTCATTAAAAAAAAAAAAATCATGTTTCGAATGTACAAAATTGTATAATAAAATCAGTGTTGTAAAACTCGGCCTCCTCGGCGCTAGGCGGCGCCATGTCGTGCCGCTTTTGATTATAGTCGGTCATTACTCGGCCGACCGCCTAGGCGGCCAACTCGGTCAAAATCGGCCGAGTCGGTCAACTCGGCCAACTCGGCTGAGTTGACCGATTTTGTCTGATTTTGACTAATTTTGACCGATTTCATCCCATGTTGTCTTTCATTAATTATTGATTTTAATATTATTATGATGTTATGACTTATAAATTATTGTTATTTCATTTATTTGGTTGTGTTATTTGATTGAATGTTGAAAACGGTCTCATTAAAATTGTCAAACTATAAGTCTGTCACTATTTTTAAAAAAAATTTTGGTGCCCGCCTAGGCGCTGCCCGGGCGCCCGACTAGCGCCTAGCGCCTACTGCAACCATGAATAGAATACACATAATTTTATACCTGAAAACACAAAATTTTATAACTAAAAATTCACATGTTTCGAATGTACAGAATTATATAATAGAATGCACAAAATTTTATACCTGAAAACACAGAATTTTATAACTGAAAATTTTCTTGTTTCGAATGTACAAAATTATATAATAAAATGTACAAAATTTTATACCTGAAAATACAGAACTTATCAAAACGACATCGTTTTGAGAATCACATAACGCATATTGCTATGTGCACCTTTTTGCACGATATAACGATTGAAGATTGACGGCCAAGACGACTTTATTTTGAGTCAAGTCTTATCTTTCTTAGTTTGGGTTTAATATATCCATCAATATATATGCATGGGTGTTGAAATATGATCGCAGGGAAGGTTGGCAATTGCGAAACGAAACTGAAAACCGGGTCCTTTGGCTGGGCCACAACTTCAAACTTATCATAAATCTGCGTGCTCACTATACATAAAGCTATAATAAACTATATTAATAAACTATATTAATTTATTTAGTGCAATCAATAAATACATTATCTCTAAACTTGTATTATATATGCAAACTTATTTAATATGGTTGAATATTGTACCTATAGGGCTATAGATATATCTTTATGAAATTAATTTATGTATTGTATTTTCATTTTATATCAAAGATTCATGAGCTCACTCTCCCAAATGGAAGATTATGAGTTCGAGCCTCAGTGGAAGCGATATCGACTTGTTAGGCTTCAGTCAAGGACGAAGCTAAAAATTATGTTGAGGGGGGACAAAGAAGTAGGGATGGTTAGTGGCGGATTCAAAAAAAAATTTCAGTGAGGCCAAAAAATTAAAATAAAAGAGAAAGTTTGAAAAAAAAAATGAAACACTTTAAGAAGTATAACAATAAATATTGTTGGATATAACGAAAAATAAAACATATTAAAACTTTATAAAAATATTTATAACAAAATATGAAACATAATTAATTTGATAAAACAATTTGAATGTAAAACACAGTATAAATTACACATTCCATTATTAATATAAAGAAAGTTATATATACATCCTATTATTAATATAAAGAAAATTATATATACATCTCATTATTAATGCATCACCATGTGTTCAAAAATGCACTAGGGGTGTGGTGCATTTGTGCATTTCTGAATACGTGGTGGTGCATTTATACATACATGGTGATGCAGGTCCACACGTTCGCACAAGAAATTTTGTTCGCATTTGACACACACACACACACACACACACACACACACACACACACACACACACACACACACACACACACACACACACACATATATATATATATATATATATATATATATGGGTAAGATCATGTGCAGATTGCCTTTTCGGTACGGACTTGCACTTATAGGGTTCCAAATGTTCACATTTAGGATATCTCAGTCGTGCACATTTTGAATTTCTAAGGATCAATCGTGCATTCAAATTATGCATTTTTAGAGTTTCTCACTAAACATGCACAACATAAATGCTAAAAATACACAATAAAATTGGGAAAATAAAACATAAAAATTCATGCGTGACGTGCTTAATTGAGTAAATGTTAGTAAAAATTGGACTTGTGACTTTTTAGATACGAAAATTAAATACTAATGCGGAATGTGGTTAAGGATCACACTCTTTCTCTCTTTACCGTCCAACACTAATTGAACTTAATTAATTGTGATGAGACCATACAAGAAAATTATTTAGGTTGATTTCATTGTTATCAATTCTAATTTCTACATATGTTGTACCAAAACAAAAGAAGAAAAAAGTCCAAACACTTTTGAGCTGATTAGGTTGAAGGTTCATGATTAGGGAAAAAAAATGCTAATATGCTATGTTTGAGATTTAAGTCCTAACTATTCATTTCAATAATATTGTTCATCTATGGTAGGTATAGTACTTGTTTGTTTTTTTTATTCAAGTGGATTGTAATGAATCAGAACCATCAATATCGATTTTTTGTTTTTTGAAATATTGTTAGGAATAATAATTTATAAAAGAAACGTCACTTTTGATTTGAATGAATTGAATCACATTTTCACCTCAACTTTATCGCATGAAAATCTTTAACTTTGATTTACTGCTTATGAGAAAGCATACAACTGTTATCCGAAAATGTATTATGGGTAAAGCTTGCCTTCACCTCAGTCAATAAAAAATCAAAAAAAAAATAAAAAATAGCTTAGGTTATTCATAGTTGATCGTCGAGTCAAATCGAGAAGATGAGTAGATAAAGTGAATAAAATTAAGCTTTCATATCTACTGAACAACCTATTAGATCTAAACATTTAAATCAAATGTTGAATTAGGAGAATGTATTTGTTGTCACTAACCAAACAAATCCAATTTGAACATAGAGGCAGCTGGATGGTTTGACAGAGATCTTAACACATGATCCAGGCTAATCTTGACAGGGATGCACAAGTCAGATAACACATGATATGATCTAGGCTATAAGCCAAGATTATAGATATATCTATCCAACCAAAAAGATTAAAAAAAAAAAAACACAGAATATTTTTTCAAATAAAAAAATTATGAGCGGAAACATAACTTTTTGATTATTATAAGAAAAAGAAAAAAGCATGCTATTTATATGGTACAATGTTCATTGTATAAAAAATTTTATATTAATTTGTGTATTGTGTGGTTTTACATATAATTAACTTGTATTTACTTGTTAAAACTTAGTTAAATTGTATGTGTGAAGAACAATATCTATGTTATGCATCGGGAACAAATGATATGCAAAATAATAGTATAGATTTAGTTCTCTGATTTAGGAAAAGTCTGCAGTGTACATCATTGAGTGAAGTTTTCATTGGAACCTTAGTCGATAAATGATCACAATGATGTAAATCAGTTTAAGTTATTTATAGCTGATAAGTTGAAACTAAGAAAGCCAAATGATATGCAAAATAATAATATATAGATTCAATTCTTATTAATGAAAGTTGAGGATTGACCTTGCAAAAGTCTTATAAGGTAAATCTATATAAATAGTAATAATGATTTAAATTGGAAACTATATATATCTTATCCATCCATAGAAAAGTTATCTTATATGCATAAAAAAACATTGATTTAAGTAAATTAATTAAACAAGTATAGTTTCAATTTGTCTATATATTAAATGCATAATAAAGTCAAAATGATATTTTTATAACAAAGGTAAAATTAATGTGCTGGTCACTTAACTAATTTACAAGTAGTTAGAAAATCGTAACATTTCAACACCCATCAAATATTAAAGAGTTTGCTTTTTCTTGATGTCTCAAAAACTCCGTTGATAGAATTATGAGGTGTTTGATATATGGTTGTTAGCTGATTGAGTTAGTGGGTTTGATTAGTTGATAGTATTAGCTGATTGTAGAAAAGTGTTTGGTAAATTAGTTGTTAGACTTTCTCAAAAAGGTGATCGAAAAAACTACTTTGAGCAGTTTTTTGAATTTTAGCATTTTGAAGCAATAAGTTATTACAAAAAGTTAATTAATCAAACATTCATATTGATTGTTTAACCAAGTCAAAGATTTAATAGTGATCAAATAAGTCAAAATTGACAAATAGACTAACTATTTTACCAAACAATTTTTTTTTTTTTTTTGCTATAGCTTTTTTGCTTTTTGATATACTAAATTAAAGGATGAAATTAGAAATAAAATCAAAAAATATGAGTCATCTTGAAAGTAGTGACTGATTGAGTGAAACATGATTTTTTTAAGGTTTAACCGTTTAAGTTACATTAATATTTTTTTTTTTTGAAAGGAGTTACATTAATAACTTGTTCATTGTATTATACATTTACAGATTTTTACCCATTTTATATTTCTTCATTGTTCTCAATGTATTTATTATTTCTATTGTCCTAATTTACTTATAGCTTTACTATATTTTTTTTTTCTTCGTGCAAGTTTACTAGTTATTGAATGTATACCAATTATAGTTAGACATCTAAAAGTAAAATAATGACAATATATAAAAATAGATGAATAAGCATTTAACTCATCCAATAAAAACTTGTAATCACTATATGAAAAAAGATATACTAAATAAATATCACTCTTATGTAATAATTTACAAATTATATATGAGAAATAAATAATATTAAGAAAATTTTGTGAAACAAATTTGATTGAAAAATATTAATAAGAATCCAACTTAAGCAATATGGGAATATTCCAATTATCTAAGTACAAATAAAAGAATTTTGTCCCCACGTCATTGACGATTTGACGTGCTGAGGACACAAGAAACTATTTCTATAGTTTATATAATTAAATTAAATTCTATAAAAATGCTAAAAATATATAACTTGAATGAAGCAGAGCAGCCAAAAACCTGAGCTAAAATCCACGTGGCGGAAACCCATCTTGTGGATAGGCATAGTAGTGGTGGCAAAGGGAGGGGAAACCTGCAATAATCCGGACAGCAATCCCCTTTTACCGGCTGGTCCGGTTCTGTGGTGTTCAACCTATAAAAAAACAACCTTTGAAATTCACGAAAGCTGCATCAGAGATAGAGGGAGAGAGAGAGAGAGAGAGAGAAAGGGGTTTAAGCACTGTTTGGTTGTGTGTTTTTCACCCAAGCTCGGAGGTTTTCAAATCCTGTCCACAACTTCTTCACTTGGATCAAATTATGTATACAAAAATGTTCATTCTTTCATTCTTACCACACTGAATCTGTACAGTTTTTCTTCACCTCAGGTAATGTTCTTTGTTCTGGGGAATTGAATTTGGGTTGTTTCTGCACCTTGGGTTGGTGGGTTTTCCTTTTTGGGGAGTTGGGTGTGATCTGAGTTTGGGAAAGTGGGAATTGGGTGGAATTCTGGTTGATCAGCTGGGGAGCTGTGATGAGATGTTTTCTGGGTTGGATTTTCTAGCCTTTCTAGGTTGTGTTGTTGGAATTGGAGTCTGGTTTCTGCTTTGCATGTTCTAAGTTCTAAGCTTGAAGCCTTCAATGGAGGTGGGTTTGGGTTGGATCATATCTTGGAATAAGATCTGTGGGATTTGATGGCCTAACAGTTTTTAAAAATTTTGACTTTTTTGGCATTTCTTGTTTGAATGGTAATTCTTGAACCAAATTCTCTCTTGCAGTGTTTGGGAATTCAATTTGATAATTTCTGATTAAAGATTTGAATCTTCAAAATTTGATCTTCTTCTTCTTCTTTATTCTTTTTCTTGTTTCTGAGATTGTGTTTGACTGGTTGCTGTTGTTATAATCCAGTTTTTCAATCTTTCTGTAATTGCTAATTTTACTTAAGATTCTGATTGAAACTGTATTAAATCTTTGGTTGCAGATCAAATTACCATAATTTCACTGCACATAGTTATCTGTTCTTGGTATGCTGGTTAAGAGATGGTGCTGAAGAAGAGATTGGAGTATGGTTTTGGTGGGTTTCAGATTCCCTGTGTGCCTAGAGGTCCCAGATCAGTTCGAGTAAGGAATAAGGATGGTTAAATATTTTGGAATATTAGCCTTAATTTCTCTGCAATTTCCTTAATTTCTGTGAAATTTGTTGTTTTTTGATTCAGAGGAGACACCCCCTCAAAAGTTTGGAGGATAATCAAATTTGTGCATTTGAATTGTTGGCCACTGTGGCTGGGAAGCTTTTGCAGGAGAGTGAAAGCTCTGCTTCTAGTAATATTGCTGCAGATGAGGAGAAAGGTATTGTTAAGCAAGAAAAGATTGAAGCTTCAGGGAAATATGTGAAATCTGATCAGGGAAGCTCGGTATCTGATCCCGTTATTGAAGTGCAGAAAATCGAGGATAATGGTTTTGGTGGATCTTTGTATCCCAAAGATTGTTCGCTCCAGGAACAGACTTCGAAGGTGTTTAATGGCAATGGCAAACTCGGGATTGAAATTGAAACGCATATAGAAGAAGACTTAACTGTAGCTAACGATCGCACTGTAAAGGATCCGATGGAGAATAATTATGTGAATAATAATAACACCCTCCACCTCGTTAACTCAGAGAGTAGTGTACATTTCCCGTTGTACAGGGAACGATTTCCTCGTGTTTGTTTTGCAAAGCACAGGAACGATGTAAAGTTAGGTGTTAGAGATGATGGCGAAAATTCTTACGGGTGCTATAAACACAGCACCAAGATTAGGCCTTTCAGGTCACAATCCCGCATTGGGTACAAACGAATCAGGAAAATGCTGACATCCAGACACCGGAAGACAGCTCTCGGGTTGAAAGAATGCGACTTTTCTGACACTTGTAAGTGGGATATATATATACATTATGATGTTATAGCAATTTTCACTTGATATTCTCTTAACACCGTAGTTTGGCATTGTAGATGAGAAAGCGATGAAGCATTCATATCGTAGTAGGAAAATCTTTCATGCCCGAGAAAGATGTCACTTTGAAACTTCTTCGAAGAGGAGGAAGTTGTGTAACCGTAGCTTTGCTATTGCGTACGATCAGGAGGCTAGTAGTGAAAGCATTTCTAATTTGCCCGACAAGAGAATTAATGGAGACAATAGTAAGATTTTAAGGTTGATTTCAATTTGGGGTTATCTGTTTCTATATCCGAAAAGATTTTTTTGATGTGGGGTTTCTTTTCACTTCCAGTAAAATTTAGCATCAAGTCTTTCAAGGTGCCAGAGCTTTACATTGAGGTTCCCGAAACTGCAACAGTTGGATCATTGAAGGTACTCGGGATTTTCTTTGATCTCGTGTTCTTATATCCCATTTAACATCCCGCCTTTATGTTAAAGTTTGAATCTTTTTGCGTGATGTTGTGGATATCTGAGTCTCGGTTTTGAAGTACGATATGAATGTTTTCCACAGAGAACAGTGATGGAGGCTGTTACAGCCATAGTAGCGGGTGGTTTACGGGTGGGAGTTGTTCTCCAAGGAAAGAAGGTAAGAGACGATAATAGAACTCTAAAGCAAGCTGGTATATCTCACAATGGCAACATCGATGCATTGGGTTTTACGTTGGAGCCTAATTTAAGCCAAGTTTCTCTTGTTTCGACCCCGAAAGATGCTCCTTCTTCCTTACGTGCTGCTGTGGAAACAGAAGTTTCCGGGTAATTTGAATTTTAAGGTTTATGTTTAATTTTTTTAGTTTGGTCTAGATTTTGGGCACGTTGTTTAAACAAATTATGTTTCTATATATGTTCAGGAGTCCAGCCAGTCCTAACTTGGATTTGGCGCTTTCCACTATTCCGTCTGATCCCTCACCCGAGATTATTATGGATAAACCCGTTGAGGGCAACCGTGAGTTGGTACCGTTTTCGGAGAATCCTACTGATTCCTCGACTAATTTATGTGATTCAGACACCAAAGCTTTGGTGGCGGTTCCACCATCAAATGCCGAGGCACTTGCAATTGTTCCTCTGAATGGGAAAAGTAAGCGCACTGAACTTTCGCAACGTAGGACCCGAAGACCGTTTTCTGTTGCAGAAGTTGATGGACTGGTTGGAGCAGTAGAGCAACTCGGAACTGGAAGGTACGGGGAAACAAAACCCGAGTACCATTTAACTTCCCGATATGAAGTGGACTTCTAATCGATCTGGTTTTGCAGGTGGCGTGATGTTAAAATGCGTGCTTTTGAGAATGCAGATCATCGCACATACGTTGACTTGAAGGTGTGTGATCTAATTTGATCTCGACAACTTACGTATAATTTTCACTACTCGAGCTTTCATTTCATTCTGTCCATATCTTTGATGTTTCCACATTCGAGCAAAGCTCATAGTGTAGGGTAGTTCTTGGGATTTTCGGTTTTGAACTTTTGTCATAGATATTTATGTCACCTTGTCGGGCGGAGGCCTGAAAGGCCAAGTCCAGCATCGGGTGGTTAGGGGATTGTTGGGTGGAGGCCCCTGAAGGGCTAAGTCCAGCACATTGCCTTTCGAAAATGTGGTGTTGGCTTTAGAATTATAGCTTTTGGCTTAGTGGTAAGTGGTAAGTGATCCTAACAAGTGGTATCAGAGCACAGGTCACAAAAGTCTAAATATTTATAGGTTTATACAATTAAAATGGGAGTATTGAATCTTAGGACAGCTAAGAATGATTGCACAAAAAGCATATGATGCTACATATGAGCTGTTGTAGATAACCTTGGATCTAACTTTTAACATTAATTAAACAAAAACTATATGAGCAAACCAATCATTCTGATCTTCTCATAGCATCCACATGCTGCTTAATTCGTTTTTTTGATACAGGATAAATGGAAGACGTTGGTTCATACTGCGAGCATCGCCCCGCAGCAAAGGCGGGGAGAGCCTGTACCGCAGGAGCTTCTGAACCGGGTCTTAGCTGCCCACTCGTACTGGTCCCAACATCAGGCCAAGCAACACGGGAAGAGCCACGCTACTTTGCCTTTGAGGACCGAGGTTTGAAAAGGTTGTCTCGTGATTATATTCCTAAGATGTGTATATGACGTAAGAATGTAGAGATTGAAGGGTCACATATTATATATATGTCGTCGTTTAGGTTTCTCAGGCAGGCTCACTGATTCATCGCGCAGTCTTCCTCCATGATTCGGGGAGGCTGGCGACTGTAAATTGATTCAAGAAACATTGTAGTCTAGGGTGTCACTCTCTGTTGATTCTATTTTTTATTTTTCTGGGATTGGAAATGTATTATTATGTACATTAATCTCTTTACATTTGAAATAAATGGTTTATTTCATTCCTGAATATTATTTTGTTCATTAGACTAGCGGCCTATAAGGCTTCTGCATTGCTTCTTTGTTATGGACAAATCTGATCTTGTCATCAAAATACTATATAGAATGTGAAATAACAAAATATTAATCCAGATCTAGTCTAAATTGCGGTTGCATAATCTGATTAAGAAGAGTATAAAGCAATAATATACATACATACGAAAGTGGATATTCAATTCTAAGATGCACAACGTAACAGTCAACAAATGGATAAGAAAAGAAAGTAGCACGTTAGGGCATGTGAGATGATGAGTGAGACAAAGCTAAGCGTATTACGTTTGTGTGAAGCAAAACTAAACTAAGGTAATCTGCACATGCACGCTACGTATAATCTTTCTTTCTTTCTTTCTATGCGTAAAGACTGGAACTGAGCTTTAAATCACCATACCATACAGCCTGTAGTCTACACTATCACCTCCTCCAGATCTGATCTCATCCACTAATTGCTCAGATCACAATTCTTCCTCCTATATATGTTCTTTACATGTATGTATTTTATTATTAGGCATATTACCAAAAAAAAAAAAGAAGCTATTCATGAAAACATGAAAAAGTCTAATTAATCTCTCTCTCCTGAAATAATTAATTCTCTTACCAGGGGAATAACTTATCCTATTGAATATTATTTTTAAAAATAAAATAATTTATCAAACAATGTAATAAGTCTATTCTTGAGAATTCTATTATATTCCCGACCTTTTATATGAACCAAATATGCTATATTAATGTTACATTGGTGAGATATTATTCTTGTTTTTCATTTTTGATATACCAAAAGAAAAAGAAGAAGATTTTGTAAGTTGAATTTTAGTCCTTATATCGTGGACCACGGTGGACGTGTACCACGGTAAAAAACGGTGCCGTTTGCCGTTAGAGTTAACAGAGTGCGCATATTTGGTGTATTAATTATCAACTGAAACTACAATGTATCTAAACTGACACTGCCTCACGTATTATTTTTATATTATCAAGTGAAACTACAATTGAAATGAAATGAAACTGTAGTTGTGTTGAAATAAAACTGTAGTGTATACAAAATGAAACTGAATAACAATTTCACATATTTGAGTGTATATTACCTAGCGAAACTATAGTTATATCAAAATGATATTGTAGTTGTGTTGAAATGAAATTGCAGTGTATATAAAATGAAACTGAATAACATTTCACATATTCGAGTGTATATTGTGCAATGAAGCTGTAGTTATACAGAAATGATCATGTAGTTGTGTTTTAATGAAACTATAGTGTATATAAAATAAAATTAAATAACATTTTCACATTTTTGAGTGTATAAATATCGAATGAAACTGTAGTTATATCGAAATGAAATTGTAGTTGTGTTGAACTAAAACTGCAATGTATACAAAATGAAACTGAATAAAAGAGTTACTTTTTGCGGAGCGGCATGAAACAACACGAAAAGGGTACCTTTTCTTTTCATTAAACAAAACGATATCGTTTTGAAGGTCGGTGTACGATATAATTTGCCATTGGCCAAGCTCTGGGCCATTCTGATTAAATTAATAGATGATGGGCTGCCATTACGAATTTCAGAAATACTGATTCTCATTCTCACAAACCCCAAACCATTTCCTTATGGTCATGTCTTGTACCAAAATCTTGCCCAAGTACATAAAATTTGGACTGTTACATAGTTATGCTGCATGGTGCATCCGGGTCTAGATTCATAATTTCTATACTGTAGATTCATAATTTTTAAATCGTAGATTCATAATTTAAATACTGTAGATTAATAATTTTTAAATCATAGATTCATAATTTCTATACAGTAGATTCATAATTTCTATACTGCAGATTCATAATATCTGTACTGTAGATTCATAATTTCTGTACTGTAGATTCATAATTTCCAGTGAAAAAGGAATTTAGACAAAAACAACGCTGTTTTGGACCAAGGTCCACATTGCATGGTGGACTCAGGTCCACGCTATAATTCGTAGGTGACCAAGTGGGTGGAGTATGATTATTATATTTGAAGATCACGAGTTCGATTCTTTTCAACACTCTCCGAACAAGCTTGTCACACATAGTCTTCTAATGTGGTTTACCTCTCTTGTGTAATTTGGGGTTATAGTTTCCCTCATTACCTAATAAAAAGTATAAAACCAATAGATACTCCACACCTTGTCCCCAAAATAAACAAATTATGTTCCGGAATAGGTAAATAAGTGAGTGGAATATGGTTTTTGTATGTATATAAAAGGTCGAGGAATCTAATTTTTGTTAACACCATCTCAATTGAGTTCGTTGCACACTTGCATAGGGTCTTAGTCTCCACTTCCCTAACTAATTTGTTGAATTGTTGTTTTATACGGAGTATAACATAATCCTAGCTTATATTAGCTCCCAGTAGCAAAGACAAACAATGTTACTTTTTGTCACTTTCATAGTGATTTTAAGTAAGAAAGACAGTCCAAAATTCATATATAGTTGTCCTTGCCAAACAGGTAACAACCTTCAGCGATTATGAATTTTCAGTATCATATGATAGGTGGGTTTGTGACTACTGAAAATAATGTCCATTTAAGCAATTTTATGTTTGATGTCAACCAACCAAAAAATAAATGAAACCCAACAATTTTTATTTTTTTAATTTTGGTATATTTGAGAGATGTAGATTGCATAGGTAAACCATAATTCTAAAGTAACAAATACATACCACTAAAAAATAAATCACTGTTACACAATTTCTTATTTATTTATAATCACGAAAAAGTGATCGAAATCTTACCATTTATAATTTAAAATTTGATTTTGATCACTTTTTGAAAGATGGTTGAAGACTTTGACTACTTTTGCACGACTACTTTGAAAGTGATAAAAAACATTAAAAATTTTATTATTCGATCATCTCTAATCACTTTATGAGAATTAATAAAATGCACATAGTAATTGGGAATAGATGAGTTTTCAAGCCAAAAAAAAATTGTTGCTAATTAACTTGTCTCTCTTAGTAATCTAAAAACAAAATAAGTGTTAATACAGGTTATATCCTTGGTTTTTGTCCGTGTTATTATTGCTGATCTGTTTGTACATTGTGTTGTTAATATTGTACAAAATTCTTTAAAGACAAAAATGTCCCAGAATATTATGTTACTGTTAACTATCATTTGCAACCACGTTTCCTCCTTCATCTTCTCATTTATCGCGTAAGAATATGAGATTTCCACCTTCATCGCCCAATACTCACAGACGTTTCTTCCTTCATCCTCCTTCATCGCCTAAGAATCTGAGGCTCAATTTACTATCATAACCAACAGGATAAGTTCCTCCTTCACTTCCTTCAGTTTCACCCTAATAGTAAGCACAAATTCCTATCAAGGATTTAAGCAATCAAAAGGAAAAACAAGATATTCGAAGCAGAGATGTGTAGGATTGAAGCAATGAAAGGGATTCAATGGGTTTGATCGTTGATCGCGGCTATGGTTTTTTCTAATTTTATTTATCAAAGGTAAATTTATTGATTAAAGCCTAATTTTTAAGTGGACGTTCTGAATCATTGTTATTGGTTGGAAATTAGATGCATTTGTTATATACTACTGGTTATAATTATCGTAATTGTTAGTCGGAATAGTATATGTTTAATAAAATCCAATTAGTTGGAATTCGCGCATATTTGTTCTACTGTGATTGCTTAGAAGGCACATATAAATTTCAGAATTTTTGAATGTTATAAATGGAAGGAATTACTAGGTGTTTGATTTACCTTTATGCTTTATTTAAAAAATCACAATTGTCCAGATAATGCCTGCCAAATAAAAGTGCATGCAGTGGTTGTATTTTGTAATGTTTGCAAAGGTGGGGAAAAAAGAATTCTGTGTGTGTGTTTAGTTGCAAAGCTATTTCATAGGTGTCTAATTGCATGGTCCTGGGAAGGGGTCATAGTTCTCATTATAAACGATGATCATCACAAATTTTGATCATAGCATCTTAATGTCTAAAATTGATGCTGGTACTTGATTATATTCTACCGCGTCATGTGTCTTTCTGGTATTGACTGAGAAACATGAGAAATACAATAATCTTTGCATTCTGTTTTGAAGTGTATAACCAGCCATGAAATCCTACCTGTTTGTTTCACAACTAATCAACTTTTGTCTTTCTTATGTGTGCAAAGTTTCCTTTTTATCTACATGTCTGATGTATTATAATATATTTATATTTATGTTCATGGTTGAGTGATCTCTGCTTTTAGAGATAAATCATGGAAGACCAAATGTATGACGTTACTCGTTAATACCCAACTTGTTGGGAAGGTTGCTTATGGTCTGCTGTGCTTTTACATCCATTTTGTAAAGAGTTTCATTCTTTTTTCCTGATGTTTTATTGTTTTGTTGATAGGTACATTTACCTCCTACATTGGCAGGCAATATAATTCTTCTCCATCTGTAATTGTAATTGGTGGAGATAATTCTTCATTTATCTTACATTCTTACCCTTATTGGCTGGAAACTTACTTTTTTTAGGACCAATTTCACTGTAACAAAGGCTGTATGGTATTGTACTAGGTGATATTGCTGGAATCAAGAGATAGAATTGGTGGACGTATTCAAACTGACTACTCGTTTGGTTGCCCTGTTGACATGGAAGCATCGTGCATGGTAAGTGTTTCTATTTTAGAAATTTTATCCAGAATGCACTTTTCTGCATTTTTACATGTAGGTTCAATGAGCTTGGTTATATAACTACTATTTGATTTAGTTAGAAACAATAAATATTGGATATTTTGTGTTCTTGTGCGCTCCTTTTTATAATTGTTGGCCACAATATTTTATTATACTATAGATCACTACCTTAAGAAAGCATATTTTGTTTCAGGCTACATGGTGTTTGTAATGAGAATTCTTTGGCTCCAATAATAAGGCGCTTGAGCCTCAACTTATATAGTATTAGTGGTGACAACTCTGTACTATATGACCATGATCTTGAGTGGGAACTTACCTTTCACCAGATCATCTAAAAATCTAGATTAATATATTATTACTGCGCTATGGTATCAATGCATCACTTATGCACTTGTGGATCATCTCAGTCAAAGTTTCATTGGCATTTAATAATAATAATAATAATAATAATAATAATAATAATAATAATAATAATTATTATTATTATTATTATTATTATTATTATTATTATTATTATTATTTACTTTTTTGGTGATTCAGTATCAGTTTTCTTACCTGCGAAAGTACTATTTAGTTGCTATACCCATAAGGTGGCTTAAGCATAACAGATTGATACAGTAGCTCTATGAGCTTAGATTTGGTTTAGGTCCAGAACAGATTCAGAGTGATTTGGTTTAACTTAATTTTTACCTCTTGGGTTATTTGCGCCACTATTTTAGTCTGCTACAAATATAATCCAATGCCTGATATATATAATTATATTTGCAGTTTTATGCTCTTTGGTATTGATGACAAGCTTCCTCAACATACACTTGTTGAACTTGGAGATGCATTTAGAAAAATTCTCAAAGAGGTATGCTTTCCTTGAATTATTATTTCTATTTTTTACTTTTATAATCTTCCCTGAGCTGCTTTCTTAATTAATTGTGATAATCCATTTTTTGGCTCTTATACACTGAGAAAGTGCGGGATGAACATAGTCAAGACATGTCAGTTCAACAAGCAATATCAATCGTACTAGACAAATATCCAGAACTAAGGCAAGATGGACTTGCCGACGAAGTGCTGCAGTGATACATATGAAAGATACATGCTAACTAAATAATACAAGCATGATATAGTTGTAATATAATGTTCAATACCTTTACTTAAAATTACAAATTTATATATTCATCACAGTGAATTTGTATTTCTTGTGTAATTTTCAATTACATCAACAAAATAAACTTTACGTGAATATTTATGAAACTTCGTCAACTCAAGAAAGAAAAAACATTACAGATGCATTTTATCTATTTCAAAATGATTTACTAATCGAGTTGAAGTATTGGGCACAAATTTTCGCGCAAAGCGCGTAGAAAAAACTAGTACTAGTATAAAAGTCTACATGTGCTTATTTAGCCCAATATTTTAAATTAAAATTTATTAGAGCATCACCATTTGTTATCTTTTTAAATTTTTCGTCAAAATTATTTTCAAAAAAGAAAATGTTATGCTACTTTGATTTTTATCCTAGTTTTTTTTTTTTTATAAAAAAAAAACTTTAAAAAATAATGGTTCTAGTGTCTGTCACCAGAGCTAATAACGCCTCCACTGAAGCTTGAACTCACAACCTTCCAAATGGAAGTCTAACCCGGGTACCATTGGACCACATAGTCCTGGTGACGACCACCCTACTTAGAAAGGATAAAAAACTTTTTCTTTCTCTTTTCCATAAAATATTGAATTCTTGACAAAAATTTTAAAGAGAACTAAACCAATAATCTTGCTATTATATGACATCTATCTTTTATGGCACAACAAAATTTGTTTCCCTAGTGGTTGCTATGTTAGTGCTTTGCTTCATTATAAAACAAATGATAAATTATCAAAAGTAGGTTCAATCATGTTTGTAACAATTAACTAATTTGAAATGTTCAAATTTCCTTCCATTGTCATTTGTACTCATTAGGCATTATATGGTTACGCGAACTCAAATTTAGTAATACTACAATTTTAAGATTTTTTTTTTTTTGAATGCTACTAGCATATACTTCCTCAACCTACTGAAATACAAAGAACCAATAATGCATCCACTAAGGCTCAAACTCACAAACTTCCAAATTGAAGTCTAACCCGGATACCATTAGACCACATAGTCTTGGTACAACAACAATGATCATAAAGTGGATGGTAATAGTTTTAAGAGCAACAACAATGATTGTAATTTAAGTTGGATTTTTGTTAGGTCAACAAAGAGAGAGAGAGAAAAAAAAAAAAAAAAAAAAAAAAAAAGATGATCGTTAGTTGGTTAACACCCAATGCTCCCTGACGAAATTTAAAAAAAAAAAAAAAAAAAAAAAAAAAAAACTCAATACTTGTAGTAGCACTCCTCCTCTTGCTCCTCTCTTTTCCCCCATGGGGATGCTCCAAGTTTTTAATATATATCCAGAACAAATTGTACTTTTGGTCCTGTGACTATTAGGGTGTTGATAATTTGAGTACGTGACTTTCAAAATTCTCAATTTAGTCCTTTAACTATGCAATTGTTAGCAGATTTGGTCCTGCTGGCCAAATTGTAAGCCAATTTTAGCCGGAAAAACGTAATTTGGTTCGAATTTTTTTTTATGAGGGTAAAACAGTCATTGCAATGAAAAATAAAAGGGAGGAAAATTCATCCGGCGCCCAAGCACGAGGAGGACAAGGCATCGGTCGGGCACGGTGTCCTCGCCGGTGACGTTGAAACGAAGAACGAATGCGTTGATTTGATTTGGAGGATCAATAAACCGGCGAACGGAAGCGGGCTTGTTAATTCCGCCAAAATGACTCCCATTGCGAGCTAGTAGCCCTCCAGAACCGCCACTCCTATTAGAGCTACCACTCCGGCCGCTAGGGGCCCCATTTCTTCCAGGATCTTTGACTCCGGTGAGGTGCCAAAACGGAGTAGTGCAGGCTCTAGAAAACGACGGCCATATTCCCGGAGAAAACAAAGGTGATATTGGCAGAGGTGTTTCCGCCGCACTTCCAACACGGTTCGACCGAGCTAATTCCGACGAAACCACCATTAATGACAGCCACACAGCTGCAAATAAGAAGCACACCCCACTTGAAACTCGCAGAGCAGCCTGGGATGAAGTTGAACGTGCAAAATACACTGCCAAGTTATATTTAGATACCATCTAACCATCTGTTAGTATCAATGGAAACATTGCTACGACCAGAGAAATCATCAGTAATGGAAACACTGCTACGACCAGAGACCGGAGGAATTTTCTCCCCTTTTATTTTCCCTTGCAATGACTGTTTTACCCTCATCAAACAAAAATTCTAACCGCATTACGTTTTTCCGGCCAAAATTGGCCGGCAATTTGACCGGCAAGACCAAATCTGCTAACAATTGCATAGTTAAAGGACTAAAGTGAGAGTTTTGAAAGTCACGTACTCAAATTATCAACACCCTAATAGTCACAGGACCAAAAGTGCAATTTGTTCTATATATCCAGGAAACTATATACAAATCTATTTTTTTTTTTCTTTCTAAAACTTATTAACTTGTAACTAATAAAATTAACATAGATATTGATTTGCGCTAGTGGGTGTCTTTGTTGCTACCATAAATGGTGTCTTACCAGCTTGTTTGAGCCCTCTCATGGCGGAAACCCTTGCTTGTAAAGAAGTATTATCTTGACTCAGAGATCGCAGAGTAACTTATGTTGAACTACTGACTGCTCCGCTCTTCATAACTTAACGGCTGTTGAGGTTGTGCTCTGATCTTATGTATGTTGGCATTGCTACTAATGATTGTAGAGAGATTATATCTCCTTTTCTTACTTGTTCTTTTTGTTTAATTCCTAGACATGCTAATATGATAGCTCACACTTTAATTTTTATGGTCTATTTTCAGGCTAACAGGTTATATGAGACTCTGTCTTACTTGACTTTGTTTCAATAATCTATCTTCGTTTTGGTTGCTTTAAAACAAAAACACTGTATTTTTTTTTCTTTTTTTGGATAAGCTTATTTTAATATTCTAAAGTTGAATACACATCAACATTTCAATTTTAAGAGCTGAATGGACACTTCCTTTAAAATAAAAAAACCAAAAAGTTTATAGTCTTTGGTATAAAAAACCAAAAAGTTTAGTGTTGGTGGACACTTTTTAGCCGCCATTTTGTTTTCAATCTTTAAATAACGAATGGACCACATCATTTCATGGCACTCATTTCTCCGGGGAAATTTTTTATTTTATTTTATTTTATACATCTATGATATTAAAGATTGAAAGACAAAAATAATTAAATTATTTTGTTTATTAGTTAAAAGGAGTATAACTTACGTACAATGTACTGATCATATATCGCTGTCGACAATTGTTTTTTCCAAACTAGACTACAATCACAAAGAAATTTGTAGTGCTTACCAATTTAATATGAATATAGTATTTTTATGGCACAAGGTAAGCCAACTATATTAATATAATTATAAAGTAAAAAGATGAGAGTTTTGGTTTGAGTAAGTATTAAATATCGTTGAGATGACTTGAGTCAAGTAAAAGTCAAATTTTTCTCGTAGGCATCAACTCTTTTGAACTAACGAGTCACTGAATCAGAGTGTTGGAACTCTGGAGGCGAGAAAATATTACTTTTTGTGGGTAATTAGAACTATAGAAGTTAGATTTTGTGGACTTGACGGATTAGTTTCACGATAACGGGGATACAGAATTGTATAAAAAATAAAATAAAAGAAATAAATAATAATTGCACTCAATTGAATGCAACTAATGCCCAAATCCAGAATTCATGATTTTGTTGATGCAAACCCAATCAAGTTTATCATTTTTGGTATTGAATTGAGAGTGCAATAAGTGAAAGGTACAGCACCACTAGTGTTTGTCTTCATGCAACCACAACGATGCCACTTCCTCCCATCATAGCCCTTTATATATAGCACTGTATTTTCAACGGCTGGGATTTCCTCTCTCTCTCTCTCTCTTTTGGAGAATCTCTTCTCTTCTCTTCTCTTCTCCTCTTGGCTATCCACACAAACATACTTAGCTTCATTTCCATAGTTTCAAACCAAGTGTTTCTCCTGCCTGCTCTGTGTAAGGTACCTTCAATTTTCATGTGTTCTTTGTGGATAAAGTTTTCATCTTTCTGCTTTATTTAATTCCCTTTTGCTGTTAGAGAATATTGCTTTAGCTTATTATATTTTGAGCATTTCTAATTATGCTCAGTTTTTCCCATTTTGATTGTATCAATGTGTGTGTTTATGCTTAAAGATTATATTTTTTTTCCATTGTCAAATGTTCCAGGATATGAACTGGGTTCTTGAATTTTCTTGAATTTGGTATATCTAGAATTTGAACTCCAGTAAAATCTCTGCTCTTCATGATAACTGCAGGATTGGGAAACTGGGATAGTGAAAAGTATTGTTTTTTAAATGTTGGTGAGATTTAGGGTTCTTGATTCTTGGAGGATTGAATAGATGGTCATGGAAAGAAATGTGAGGGTGATATGTGAGGCTTCAGGGGATAAATTGAAGGGTAAAACCCAATCTGTTTTCCTGGATCCAAATTTGTTTAATTGCTTGAACATTAGTGAAACCCTCGCAGACTTGAATGGAATAACCTCGAGCCTATGTGATGAAGGCCTGCCAAATTTTCTGGACCCTACTGTTATTGATCAAAACCGATGTATTGAAAATTTATATGGTGAAAGCATATCGAAGTTTTCAGACCCAGTTTTGATTGAAAACTCGAGAGTTGAGCAAAGTTTTCCAGATCCAATTTTGGTTGGTAGTCTGAATGTTAGCCAAACCTGTTTGGATCGAAACGAACTCGCTGAAAATTTAAATGGTCAGGCTGTATCGGATTTTCTGGATCCCGTTCTGATCGAAAACCTGAGAATTAGCCAAACTTCAGTGAATCAAAACGGGCTCACGGGAGTTTTAAATGATGATGGTCCAAGTGTTATGGATCTGCATTTGATTAACAACAGTCTCGGAGTTTGTGAGGACTTGTTGGATCGAAATCAGTTTGCATTTCCACCGCTCCAATCTGATCCCAAGTTAAACGTTGTAGCCCCATCAAACGAGGACTTTGATTTTAACGATGGAGATCTTAACTATATTGGCCAGATGCTCATGGAAGAAAACATGGAAGAGAAGGTGTGTATGTTTCAAGAATCTACTGCCCTCCAAGATACCGAAAGATCGTTTTACGAGGCTATAGGTGAGAAGTATCCACCGCCCGCTGCTCATTATACAGTTTCCAATTCCAATCAAAATGGAATCTTGGTTGATGGCAATTACGAGGCTATATCTCGGTTGTCCTACAGCACATCAAGCAGCTCGGGCACCGTAAACGATGGCCACGTTGATTCTCCCGTGAGTACGTTAAGGATTCCCGAATTTTGTAATAGCAAGGAGTTGCCCGTTGATTATAGTGGGAAGAAGCGAAGTGCGGAGAAAAATGAAGTGGAAGTTAATATGGAGAAGAATTACGAGGGGAGAAGTAACAAGCAGTCGGCAGTTTCATCCGACTCGACTCTTAAACCGGAAGTCTTTGACATGGTGTTGCTATGCAGTGGAGGGAAGAACGAATCGGCTCTTCGTCAGGCCTTGCAGATCGTATCGAGAAAAAACGATGATTCGAAGGCATCCAACGGGAAGAAATCCCGAAGAAAGAAACCGAGAGGTAAAAGAGAGACGGTGGACTTGAGAACGCTTTTGACGCTTTGTGCAGAAGCCGTCGTAGCCGATGATCGTAGGAATGCGGGCGAGTTTCTGAAGCAGCTGAGGCAACATTCGAGCCAAACGGGGGACGGTATGCAAAGGCTGGCTCATTACTTTGCGGATGGTCTCGAGGCAAGGATGGCTGGCTCCGGGACCCAAATATATAAAGCGCTTATAACCAAACCTACATCGGCTGCTGATATCCTAAAAGCGTATCAGCTATTTCTTGCCATCTGTCCATTCAGGAAGATCTCGAATTTCTTCTCGAACAAGACAATCATGAATCTAGCCCAAAGTGCAACATCGGTGCATGTTATTGATTTCGGTATCCTTTACGGTTTTCAATGGCCTTGCTTCATACAACGTCTTTCCTCCTCGAGACGTGGTGGACTACCTCCGAAACTTCGTATAACCGGAATCGATCTTCCACAGCCGGGGTTTCGACCAGCCGAGAGGGTTGAGGAAACGGGGAAACGCTTGGCTAATTATGCCGAGAGGTTCAATGTTCCATTTGAGTTTAATGCTATAGCGAAGAAGTGGGAAACGATTAAAATCGAGGATATAAAGATAAACAAGGGCGAGGTTCTTGTAGTTAACTGCCTATTTAGGCTTAGGAATCTCCTTGACGAGACCGTGGTTGTGAACAGTCCGAGAGATATTGTTTTGAAGCTCATCCGGGAGTTGAATCCACACGTTTTTATACAGGGGATTGTCAACGGTGCTTATAATTCCCCCTTCTTTATCACGCGGTTTCGAGAGGCTTTATTTCATTTCTCGTCTTTGTTTGACATGCTCGACACTAATGTTCCCCGCAATATCCACGAGAGGATACTGATTGAGAAGACGATATTTGGGCAGGAAGCAAAGAACGTTATTGCGTGTGAAACCGCGGAGAGGGTCGAGAGGCCCGAGACATACAAGCAATGGCACGTTAGGAACATGCGGGCGGGATTTCTTCCACTTCCTTTGAACAAGGAGATCATGAAGATGTCCAGAGACCGGGCCAAGGTATACAACAAGGATTTTGTAATTGATGAAGACGGGGAATGGCTTCTTCAAGGATGGAAGGGACGCATTGTCTATGCACTTTCCTCCTGGAGATCCGCTTCTTGATTTTGCTTAAGATCGTCGTTCTATCTATCAACAAGAAGCATGCAAGCTCGACTAAGCTCATCTCTTCTTTTGCAAGCTGAGGTATTTGTTGAGTAAAATTTCTCGCTTGTCATTGTTATTTTGTTACAATAATGTAGTCCTCAAAAGCCCGGTCCCCTTTATTCTAGACAAATTTTGCACTTTTGGTTAGTACGATTTGAATGTTCGTTAACATTTTTCTTACTTCTTTGGCAGGTGGCTAAGTGGATGCATAGATTGGTCATTTGGAAGTGCATCAACGACAAAGACAACCAACCATCCACCCAAATATACGCACACCAGAAACAGAACCTAAACAGTCGCAAGTATAGGAATTTGCATTGCATGTTTACATCTGTAAATACTTGCGACTTTTGCCAATGATATTTTAGTTGTATGTAAATATGAACCTTTTGTCAAGAGCATATATATCCAGAATCAGATCAAAGCTCTGAATGGGTTATATCTGGCCTTTAGGTATTGAATCTTGGTTGTTATAAAAAGTACTATCTGCAGTTCTTAGATCACATATTTTCTTCTGCTACCTGGTGATGTTGAAGATGATGATTTGTATGCTATATCTGTGTATACTTTGTATATGTTCTTGGTACAACTGATAAAATTGAAAAAACATTAAAAAGAATCAAAAAAATATTTTATTATGATTGAATTTGTTCTTGCGAGGAAAATTGGGTACACTCCACATCTAAAAAAAATAATTGAGAGTTATAGACATCTTCTTGAAAACCCACATAAAAAAACATTTCAAGCTATACACTTTCACAATCTGGACATAGCTGAAGAACATGAGAAAGTATTATAATTTACAAATATAATCAGAGAAAGGTCGGTCTGTCTGTCATCTGATATGTGTTCTTCCTAGAGACCACAGTCCTGTGTCTTTGACCGGTGCCTGAAAATGGACCAAGAAAATGACAGGTTAGTGAATATACTTTGCTACTGAATAATGGGGGAATATATATGAGAAATGGAAACTCACAGGTGTTTTTGCAGAAGGGAAGACATTCCAAAACCTGAGAGTCTCATCTCCAGCTCCAGTCACTATTGTCTGCACAAGTTATAGTGAAGTTAGAATTGCAGAGGATATGTAATTGTGATTGTGTTTTGTGTTATTCATATGGACATTTTGAAGTACCTGACCATCGGGCGACATAGCAAGGTAAAGTACCCGCAAGCTGTGGCCAGTTAGAGTTGCCACCTTGGACATGGATGGATACTTCCACACCATTACTTGATTTTGGGAGTATCCATGGGTGCTAACTATTTCATTTACATTTTTGCTCCAGGCGAGATTGCAGACCTACAGAGGGACAGCAGCATTCAAATCAGTTTTGAGTTTGATTTACGGCGGGGGGTGGGGGGGTGGTTTGTTCTTGCTGATTGTGTATTAATTAGTAGTTCCAAATAGTGATGCAATGCACAAACCTGGCTTCCAGTATCCACGCTATTCAATTGATTGCCATTACTGGTGTTCCAGAAGCGAATGCAGCGGTCTGCAGTTCCCCCTCCTGATGCAAGAAGGCCACTTTGGTGAGGAGACCAGGTAATGGCTTTTACAGCAGCAGTGTGCTCTGTTAGTCTCAAAGTTGGCTGCTGGGAGTGCAGATTCCAGACCAAAAGCTGATGAAAATATCACCAGGAATTAGCATTTATTGTCAATGATGGACCAAAAACGGACACTCAGAAACCTTCTTATTTATGGTTATAATACCTGATTGTCATTGCCACCAGATGCCAGTTCTCGGTCATCATGAGACCATTTCAGCCCACAAACCTGAAATTTTTACCTCAAGAAGGTCAGTCAGGTAGGTTCTGGAAAACTTTTCCTTTCTGTTTTCAATTATGCTCTGTTTGATTGAATTGCTCTAAAATTTACCTCAGATTTATGACCGACAAGCCTGCTTACAAAGTCATTAGGGACACGAAGATCATGCTGAAGGATGTTCCGGTCTCTACTTCCAGAAGACAAGATGCGAGAACTCCATGCCAGAACTCCAGTTCTCGTTTGATGCCCACCGAAAGTCCTAACCTTCTTGCACTGAGTCCCATCCCAAACCTGAAAGAAAGGCAGACCAGCAATTTGTGATGTTCAAGTGTTAACCAGCATTATTGATATGAAGCACGCAACAAATTACACATACAGGTCATGGTGATCTAAAGCGGGCAACAAATTACAGAAACAGGTGATGATCTAAAGAGTGCAACGAATTACACAAACAGTTGATCTAAAGCACACAACAAATTATACAAAAAACAGGTGATTCTTCTACCTGAACTTGACCGAGACTTGTCCCTATGGATATGTAAGAACCCTCGCGAGTCCACTGGACTGAGCAGACACTGTCACTAGGTCCCAAGTCACACAACTTTGTCACCTGAGAGCAGAGTTATACAAGATTAAGTATTAATCAATCATTTAGCTTAAGTAACACATAACCCTTTGATGCAGCAAAACATGACTGTAAAATGTTACTGTAATTTATAATTTTACTCACTTTGCTATTTGATGCAGTCCATAAATAAACACAGGTTCCCAACCCAACAGCAAGAACATTCTGAGAGGACCAATCCACTAGATTCAGGTAGAAATCATCCTGAAGAGCTGGTGCATCCAAAACCTGCAATTATAAATGGAGAGTGAGTATCAGAGCTCCTTTGTAGATCTGGATCACCATTGGAGCAAGTCATATAGTTTAAAAGATCTTAAACGACGAATCTCTAGCAAAATATTGATTATCTACATCAAATCCATACCTTATGGGGAGTTTTGGGGACCTTCCTGGGAGGCTTAGGAGGAGTTGAAACCTCGCCAGAGAGGCCGTTATCCATCCCCAAAATGGAAGGTGAATACGGAGAATTAGGGCCGGAATGCTCCGTCTTGAACCTGAGCATATTCCTGCTAGGACTCAATGGCGATCCGGTGTTCCCTGCAGGAGAAGAAAAAGAGCCAAAGTCAGCACCAAAAAGCTCAGATCTCAACAACCTAATGTACGCCTCGTTCCCTCCTCCTCCCTCCTTCCCCGGCGACGCCTTCTCGACCAGCCCGAACGCGTGCAGCCGCGACGACGATCTGCAAGGGATGAACCTGTCGCTGCAGTTCGCCGACTTCGACGACGGCGACGACGACAGGTTCGAGAGAGTCCTCGGCGACATCGACATCGGAGACGGTAAATTCGTTTTAGACCGCAGCGACGATCCCCTCGGCGTGGAGAAGGTATCGAGCCGAAGCGAAGTCTCGTTCATCGTGGACGGGAGATTAATCCCGCTCTTCCTCCTTGGCGGTGTTGAATCCATTTTCTCTCTGTTTTTTTTTTGTTTTTTTTTTGTTTTTTTTTTGTTTTTTTTAAAACTGTTTTTGCTACTTTAGCTAAGCTTCGAGAATGAAATGCTTGCGCGAAGAGAATCCGATAACGCCTCTCTCCGGCGAGCGAGAGACGAGGCGGATCGCGGTGGTGTATAGGCGGAGCGGAGCTGAGTGTTAACGGCTAACTTCTGAGGAAGAAAAGAGAGGTTTTTGAGGGTTTGGATTGATGTTATAGCAGAAGAAGAAAAGGGAAGCTCCTACAACGGTCATTTTCTGACGTGTCACAAATTGGAAGCTGGCCTTCCTTTACTATCCGTTATTCCACGCCAATTGATATTTTCTTTCCTTTTTCTATTTTAGTTGGCATTAATTTATTAAATTTAATTAATTTGCTCCGCTCTGTCGGGCCCCCCTATGTTTCCGGAAAGATGTGTGGCTATAATATCAATTTAGTCCTTATATTTTAGGTTTATTATCCATTTGATCCTGTTTCTAAATATACTATCCACTTAAACCAAAAGGGTCAATACTCAATACATCCCCTAACTTTATACGAAAAATCAACTAGACCTATACATTTTTAAAGTTACAATTAAATACATCAACATATCATTTTAGTACGACAAGTCTAAAATTCAATTAGTGACTTGTAATATAAGGTCATTAGGATTCCAGTGATGTTTGCTCACTGGAATCATAATGACCATATATTACAAATTTTGAAGTTTGATATACTAAAATGACATGTTGATTTGCTTAATTGTAACTTTTAAAAGTTTAGGGATCTAATTAACTTTTTGTATAAAATTTGTGGGCCTATTTGTCTATTTTTCCAAGCTGGGTCATCCGGATCTTTCGGTATTATGAGATTGCGTTGATCTCTTCTAACAAGCTGGTTACTTTTTGTAGCTGACCTCATTGTGGTCCAGCATAATTACTTTGAACTGCCAATGTAACTGTCATTTCTTGCAACCTGTAATCATTTTTATCAGTTACATCACAGTATTTGTCATAAATAGTTCAGTAACTTTTATAGGATCATTAATAATCTTATTAGCTCCTCCGAGAATCTTCTACGTCTTCTATGATAACATATACCTTAATATTAGCTTTCTTTATTACGTATCCGTATCCCTGCAGTACTCTCACTTTCAAAAATGAATCACACTTCATATCATCAAATTTTTGTGATTTCTCCACTATTTTCACTACATCCTTGCAATATTCTATCACTTTTAAAATTGGTCTCACTTTCATATTACATTATTATATTATTATAAATATAATAACAAAATAATAATAATATCTAATAAAAATAAAATAAAAAAGTACACAAAAGGCTGCCATGCGCCCATGCAGCATCCTTTTGTAAATTTTCAAGTTTTCTAATTAAGAAAGGTTGCTAGTCACATGACTTGCATGTAAAATTAAACAAAAACAAATTTAAAACGTCACTTTATAGTCCACATCATCTTGTAATTGACAACATTTTTAAGATGAGGACAATTTTAAGACTTCGAAGGTTATATTATAATCTCTGTTCATAGTCCATATGTGTTTTCAATTGTCACTTCATTTTGTCACTTTATTTTTTTAAAATGAAATCAAGACATATTACAAGAGTTGTCAAATACTAATCATTCTTCATGATTTTAGACAACCTTGGACTCAACTTTCACGACAACGCCCCACATCCTTTGCTTGCCCAATTCCCGCAAGCTTCATACTTCTTCAGCATTATATTAGCCAATGTTTCTCTTGTTTTACTAACATCAGTCCTATTCAAGAAAACGTTATTTGACCATTAACATGTGTTTGGATAGAAGAAAGGAATTAGCTAGGGGGAAATGAATTCTAATTTGATATGAAAAGAATAAGGTAGAAAATCATATTGTATTGTTTGATATTTTTTAAGAGGAAGGAATTAGGGAGGGAGAAATTTTAATGTAGGAAATCAAATTGTATTGTTTGATATGGAAAAATATAATGATTGGGAATAAAAAAAGGAGTGATGAAAAAAAGGTCTTTTTTTTTTTTTTTTTCCATTTCCTTCCCATGCTTAATTGCAATTCTTATTGGGTGGTGGGGGGGGGGGGGGGTGAGAGGGGATATGAATTCCAATTCCACAAAGGAGGAAATTGTAATTCTCCAACCAAACAATGTAATTTCTAATGTCAAAGAAAAACATTACAATTAAATTGCAACTACACTCCACTAAA